GCTGGGGCGGGGAGGCCAGGGCTGGAATGCGGGGAGGCCAGGGCTGGGGCGGGGAGGCCAGGGCTGGGGCGGGGAGGCCAGGGTGGGGCCCCGGGGACTCTCCCCAGGAGAGGAGCGCGAGCCTCCCGGGGCCAGCGCCGGCGTGGCCGCGGACTTCTCCTCACTGCAGCGGCTCCCCTCGGCGGGGAAAGCGTGGCAGCTGCAGACCCGTGGGGACCAGCGAGGCCGCGTGCACGCCCTCCGCCCCTCCTCCACAGCGGCGAGGGCCTGGGGCAGCCCCTCCCCTCACACCGCACGGGGGCGCGGGGGACGGTCCCCCGGACCCTGAGAATGCTGGATGGGCCTGGGGCCCGACGCCCCGGCGCTGAGATCCAAGGACGAGAACACGCGGCTGCGGGATCAGGGAGACCAAGGGCAGGCTTACCACGCAGAACAGAGGAAAAGGAAAGGAAGACGTCCAAAGCGCTATCTCCAAGGATGTGAGGGCCCACCCCGGAGCGCCAGGGACGCCGCGCTTTCTGTATCCGCGCAGGCGCCGTGTGTGTGCAGTCGCACGCAGCTCCGTCCGGGGGTTCGTGGCCGCAGTGAAGGGCGTGAGTGCGGGCAGAGGTGGAGACGCAGGGCCCTGCGCGGCGCCTCGGCCCAGGGGCCGCAGAGCTGCGGGTTCGGGGCTACCCGCTCTCCCGGCGGCGTCTGGGACCGGAAGCTTCCCCAGCCCCTGCCAAGGGCAAGGCTGTGGCCCTTGGAAGAGGTGGACTGGGGGAGGATGGAAGTGCGGTCTGAGGACCAGAAATCTAAGCAGCTCCGTGCACAGAACAAAGACCAAACAAGCCGCTCGCCACACCGGGACGCGCGCCCACCGCACGGCAGCCTCCGCGGGCTCCGCGGCGCGCCGCTCTCGTGTTTTACACCCATCCCTAGGAAACGTGGCACCACACGCAGTGGCAGGAACCCAGCCTGGGGGGGATGGCCAGTCCCACGGGGGTCCCTCCCCCATGGTTCTGCAGCAGGGCGGAGGTTATAGAGACAGAGGGCTCAAAGGGGCAGCTGCTGCGGCCCCAGGGCGGCCACGCCCCACCCAGCCTTCCCACGGGAGTGACCCAGAGCTGCTCACAACTGAGTCGGGGGGAGTGGGGACACCTGCACGTGTGTGTGGTTCTGTGTGCGCACCTGCATGTGTGCGTATCTGCACGTGTGCACGATTCTGTGTGCATGCCTGCATGTGATTCCATGTGTGCGTGTACATGCATGTGTGATTCCATGTGTGCATGTACATGCATGTGTGTGATTCTGTGTGTGCACGTACATGCATGTGTGTGATTCCATGTGTACGTGTCCATGCATGTGTGTGATTCCATGTGTGCGTGTACATGCATGTGTGATTCCATGTGTGCGTGTACATGCGTGTGTGATTCCATGTGTGCGTGTACATGCGTGTGTGATTCCATGTGTGCGTGTACATGCATGTGTGTGATTCTGTGTGCGCACCTGCGTGTGTGCATATCTGCACGTGTGCACGATTCTGTGTGCATGCCTGCATGTGTGTGATTCCATGTGTGCATGTACATACATGTGTGTGATTCCATGTGTACATGTACATGCATGTGTGTGATTCCATGTGTGCGTGTCCATGCATGTGATTCCATGTGTGTGTACATGCATGTGTGTGATTCCATGTGTGTGTACATGCATGCGTGTGATTCCATGTGTGCGTGTCCATGCACGTGATTCCATGTGTGCATGTACATGCATGTGTGTGATTCTGTGCGCGCACCTGCATGCGTGTGTGGTTCTGTGTGCGCATGCCTGCATGTATGGTGTTTCCGTGTGTGCACATGCATGTGTGTCTATGTGCTGAGAGCCCGTGTCTGTGTTTGTGATTGCATGTGTGTCTAGGAGAGTGTGGGTACGTGTGTGTGCAGGCGTGGACATCTGCACACGTGTGTGAAGCCGTGCTCGTGCTGGGGTGACCTCTTCTCCTGTGGATGTCTGGCCGCTTTCCACCCAGAGGAAACGCCGACACGCGGCTGCTTCTCCCTGTCTTCTCTCACAGGGGTCTGAATGCTCCCCGCTGTCACCGGCCTTGGCTTCCTGCGTGGACCCAGAGCCGACTCCCTGCCCCTCCTGTGTCCAATGCCTGAACGCTGGGCTGGGCGTGGGAGGTGGCTTCCACGCCTTCGCCCCGCCCCTCCCTGGGGCCTTGAGTGAGGGGCACCGGGCGGGGGGTGGGGGGGCTCCGCTCCCTTCCCAGGAGCTTCTTCCTCTGATTGATTTGTCCCCACTCTCCAGAGCAGGGCCATGCAAGGTGGCGGCCCACGAGCCTCGGGGGTCAAGGCTCACTGGGCGTCAGGTCACAGCACAGGGCCCCCCCCCCCCCCCCGCAGGCAGGGCCCACTGCTGAGGCAGACCACTGCCAAAGCCGGCCGTGGGGGCCAGGTGCATGGGGAGGCCGGACACACGGGGGGACCGGACACACGGGGAGGCCGGGCACAGGGAGGCGGGGCTCGGGGAGGCCAGGCACTTGGGGAGGCCGGGCACGCGGGGAGGCCCGGCACATGGAGAGGCGGGGCACGCGGGGAGGCCGGGCACTCGGGGAGGCGGGGCACGGGGAGGCCAGGCACTCGGGGAGGCGGGGCACGTGGGGGGGCCGGGCACGCGGGGAGGCCGGGCACGCGGGGAGGCCGGGCACGCGGGGAGGCCGGGCACGCGGGGGGGGCCGGACACTCGGGGAGGCGGGGCACGGGGAGCCCAGGCACGGGGGGAGGCCGGGCACAGGGAGGAGGGGCTCGGGGAGGCCAGGGGCACGGGGAGGCCAGGCGCGCGGGGAGGCCGGGCACGCGGGGGGGCCAGGCACTCGGGGAGGCGGGGCACGCGGGGAGGCCGGGCACGCGGGGGGGCCAGGCACTCGGGGAGGCGGGCACGCGGGGGGGCCGGGCACGCGGGGAGGCGGGGCACTCGGGGAGGCGGGGCACGCGGGGGGGGCCGGGCACGCGGGGAGGCGGGGCATGGGGAGGCCAGGCACGCGGGGAGGCGGGGCACTCGGGGAGGCGGGGCACGCGGGGGGGCCGGGCACGCGGGGAGGCGGGGCATGGGGAGGCCGGGCACGCGGGGGGGCCGGGCACGTGGGAGGACTGGGCACTGGGGCGGCCGGGCACGTGGGGGGGCCGGGCACACGGGGAGGCTGGGCACTGTCCGGGCACTGGCCGGGCCCCACTTGCTGCCTGGGTCTGGCAGCGTGCTCAAGTGAGGTGCACAGCTCCAACCACAGGGAGAGAACTGGCTGCCGCCACCTCAACCCTGGCCGTCACCACCACCCAGAGCCACTGTCCCCGGCCATCCCCACCACCCAGAGCCGCCATCCCTAGCCGTCACCATCACCCAGAGCCGCCGTCCCCTAGCGGCCAGCCGGGCACGGGCGGGGGCCCGAGGCTGTGTTCCTGGCTGGAGGCAGGGCAGCCCGGGGCCTGGCAAACCGGTGCGAAGCCGCCCCCTGCGCTGCCCGGCGACGCTGCCTGGCAGTCTCGCCCACGTCCCAACTCTGCCACTAAACACGGGCACGCGACGGCCCTCCCCCCGCAGCCACCCAGGCCACCCCAGCAGGCCAGCTTCCTCCGCACAGCCGGCCGTGCCCTTCCGGACCTGCGTGGGGGGGACCAACGGGGGGGGGCTGCGTGGGATGGGGGACCCGCGTGGCCCAGGCCGCCCCACCTACAGCGCAGCTCCTCAGAGCGCCCGTCGCGCAGCCTGCCACGCAGCCAAACCCCATGGCGCTGGTGGACGGACGGAGATGCCAGGAGCAGCGTCGCGGTGCGACCCGCCCCCAGCAATGGTGGAAGGACGGGGTGGGGCACGGTGTGTCCTGTGTTGGGGGTGTAGAGTCTGTGGGGACCCTGGGTCTGCCATCGGCACCCCGCCCCCACCCTGCGGGGGGGCTGCCCCCACCCCTGCTCCCACCCACCGCGCGCTGCATCCACCCAGCCGCGGGCCAGCCTCAGCCTCGGCTGCCCAGGGCCGCCGGCCGTGGCTGGGTCCTGACGGGGCCTCAGGGCCGGTGGGGCCTGAGCCGAGCTCCGGGCTAGATCTGTGTGCCAGCCTGCGCGCCCACATTAAAATACAGAGGGGCGAGAAAACAGGCCCGCGGCGCCCAGCCCGGCTCTCCAGTTCTGGGGTTTCTTCCTCTTAGCTCTGGTCACTGCCCTGCGGCCCCAGGCAACGGCTGCCCCCGAGTGCCAGCAGCCCCCGAGTGCCAGCAGCCCCCGAGTGCCAGCCTCGCCGGCGCGGCCGCGGGGCCTCTGCCTTCAGGGCGGCTCAGGGCCTGGCAGCCCTGCTGGGCGTGCGGAGCCCCGCGGCGGGCGTCTTGGGCTGTTCGGCGGTGCGGGCTCACGCGTGGGCTATGCATGGGTTTTTATTGATCCCAGCTGACCTGGGGGGGGTGGGAGGAAGGGGGGGACAGCAAATGGACGCTCTGGCCTCTCTCAGCCAGTTGCTGGACTCAGCGAGGAGGTGCAGCGGGTGACGGGAGGGCACCATCCTGGCCCACGCGCCGCGGTGCGGCCGTTTCGTGTGGACATCTGGAGCCCAGGTTTCCGGGCACGGGAGAGGCAACCAAGTTGCACACCCCGCCCCCTGCAGAGGTGGGGGGGGGGACGCCGTGGGGCCCATGCTGTCCGGGTGACCCCGCCCGGAGCCCCCCCACCCCAACTCTGCTGCCGCCCGGCGTCGTGTTTTGAGTCGGGGGTGGGCAGGGAAGTGTCCCTCCTAGGCCCGCCCCCTAGCAAGCCACGCGTGCCCGGCCCTCTTGGGAGCCCATGGCCGCCGGCGCCGGGCGAGGGGTAACGGCTGCCGCCGGCGGGTGAGCCTGGCAGCCCACGCCTGGCCGCACCCATGTCTAGGCCTGCGCCGAGCGGCCGCGGCGCCCCAGCCTGCTGAGAAAAGTGGGTGCGTCTTCAAAGAAGTAGATTTGAAATATCCGCGGTCCCTCATCCCGAAAGCAGGGGAGGGCGGTGGAGCCTCCCCGCGCCCTCCGGGCCTGCGCCCGCCGTCCACGCTCACAGCTGCTGCGGGACGCCCTGCTCCTTGTACCCTGGGGAAGGAACAGAGGAGATGGCTCAGCGACTTCCTGCGCGGCTCCGCCCGCGACCCTTCCTGAGGGATTGCAGGATACGGGTTTCCTGGGAGCACACACACGAGAAGGGTGTGTGGGTAGAGCCAGAAGGCTAAGGTCGTGGCCGGAAACCCGCACAGGGCCAGGTGGCACCGCCGCACCGGTCGGGATCGCGCCACACCGCAGAGCGGAGGGGGTGGGCTCGGGAGTGGGCGGCAGGTGCTGGGCTGTGGAGGGGTGGAGACGGCGGCCGGCGGCCGGTCAGTCTGGTCAGCCATCTGGGGCCCGGCCGGGGGTGGGGCCTGCGGTGCGTTGAGCCCTCAGAACAGCATTGCTCAGCCGTGCTCGGGGGCTCACGCCTGCCGCCCCAGCTCCTCAAGAGGCTCAGATCTGAAGGTTGAGGTTTGAAGCCTGAACAAACAAACTTCTAGACTCTTACTTCCAATGAAGGAGCAAAAGGCCAGAATGAGAGATGTGGTTCAAGTGGTCAAGTGCCAGGCATGAGTGTAAAAGCAAGAGAGGAATCCTGTGTATCCGCACAAAAGCTAAAAACAATAGGAAAAAATAGCCCCTTCCCCTACCCCCCCCCCCAAAAAAAAAAAAAACCAACATTGAGAAACAAGGGCTGAGGGCCTTGGTTATTTTGGTTTTGTGGGGATCTTGTTTTCGTTTAGATCCTGGGGTTCAAGCCCAGCCCCGAGGCAGGCCAGGCAAGCCCCTGCCCCCTGTGGGAGTTTCAGCATTTGATATTAGGGACTTGCTGGTAAGTGGACCGGGTTTGGCCAGCGGCTACAGGTGGGGGTGTGGGCTTGCTGAGCCTTTTACCCATCAGCCCCTAGCGGCATGCCAGTGTCCTCCTGGCTCAGCACAGCTGCCACGCACCTGGGGTCCTGTAACCCGGTGCACACGGGTGCTGGACAGCCCTGAGTGGTGGACGCTGGAGAGGGCATTAGGACACGTTGCACTAGGTGCTATTTTGTCTAACATTTTCCAGAACAGGGAAAATTAGAAGTCTATCGATGAGGGAGTGTCTGCATATCAGAGGCAAAGCTGGGTGGGGGTAGAGGCTGTAGAACTGAGGCTCTGGCCTGGAGGTCACAGCAGGAGGCCCTGTGAGGCTGCACACACAACAGACTCACCTTGGGAAACTGTAGCACAGACAGGAAGGGCAGCAGAGGGGAGAGAGAGAGAGAGAGTCTACAAGCAGAAGCCATCCGAGGTCTGACATCTGACATCCCCGGAGATGCGCCTGCCATGAGCCCTTGTCCTCAGACAAGGGCTCAGTGCCCCAGGGACCATCCGCCGGCCCCTGGGACTGCCTTACGCCCTGCCCCCCGGCGCCCCCATGCTTCCTCCAGGGGAGTTCTGTGCTGCAGAGCCCAGGCCTTTCTGTGGTCAGGGAGCCGAGGCCCCAGGGAGAGCAGCTCAGGGACAGCAGAGGACCAGGCGGTCACCCGGGAACAAGGGGCCATGGCCTGAGGCCCGTGCGCCAGGGTCTTATGATCACCCAGCGGCGACCGGCAGCAGCATGGAGCTGTGGTGCCAACCTGGGTCCAGGCCCATGTCGCTCTGTGAGACTCAAACCCATACCCTCACCTGAGACTTCCTCCATCTTCCCAGAAAGGGTCCAGCATGACCCCCGGAGCAAAGCCTTCTCTCTACCCAGGAAAGGCATACCACGGTTGCCACAGTCCCCCGGGGGACATACACACATACACTCGCGCGGCAGTTGCAGGGAGAGCAGAGGTGTGTGCTGCTGAGATGAGGCTGGGCCTGTGGGCTGGGCGGGGGGGGGGGGGGGGGGGAGGGGGGATGGGACTCATTTTCTTTTGTGTGGCCCTGAGAAGCATTCTCAAGGTGAGGTGGAGGCAGCGCCTTCCACTCCTCCCGCCCCCACCTGTGTGTCCTCTGACCCCGGTGATGTGCCAGTGGACAGTTTTGCTGGGTATAAAACCAAAGGGAGAGGCGCAGGCAGAGCGCAGGGTGCGGGCAAGGCCTAGAGGACTGTGGCTGAGCCCTGAGAGCCGCAGCCTTGTGGGGTGGGTACCGGGTGGAGATACGGGCTGGGCACCCCTTATTGGAGGCAGGTGCCTCATGTAAGATTTGTGAGGGTCTCTTTTTAGGACAATCAAGTTGTTCTTGGTAAACTTGATCTTGAAACTTTACACCCGGTGCCCCGGGGCCAAGTGGCTACGCCTTGGGAGGCTGGGCTGGGGCGGGACTCACTGGCGAGGATGACCATGTCCATGCCCCAGAAGATGCTCATGATCCAGCCCACCATGACGATGGCCGTGAGGACCTGGATGAGTGCCGCCGCCACGTTCAGACAGAAGACGCAGCACACGTGCCTGTCGGGCAGGTCGGTGCGGGCTCCGCACAGCACCGCGAAGGCCGAGAGGAAGGTGCCTGCGGGGGTCAGAGGGCGGATGTCAGAAGCAGATGGGTGTTACCCCGCAGCATTCAGGGAGGCTGCCCGCCCTCCCCCGAGGCAAAGAGGTGGCAGCACCGGCAGCCGTGCCCGGCAGCACGCACAGGGCACTGCCTGGAGACCAGCACGGGGCCGCACCATCCTGGGGCTGGGAGACACCCTGTGACGGGCAGCGGAGGCCAGGAACGGCAGCCAGCCCCGCAAAGGCACGTGGTGTGCGGGCATGGGCGTGGCTGGGCGAGTGGGGACCAGCAGGTCCGGGACTCGGGCCCCACACATGTGTGCACACACACGTACCCTGATTGCCGAGACCCAGAAAGAACCCTGGCTCCTCAGCTGCCCCGGTGTGGCCGGCTGGCAAGGCAACATGGCTGGGGAGAAGCCGCTGCACGGCGCCACCCCCCTCCCCCCCCCGCCTCCACTGTTGGATTCACGGGGGGAGGGGGCAACAGTGCCACCGGCAGGGCCTGGCCAAGCCCTGGGGCAGCCACCAGCTCAGTGGCCTGGGGTGATGCGAATCCTGCCCCGCACAGCGCTGCCGGCCAGCACAGCGGGAAGCAGGGCTCCCAGCCACCTCCCACCGGAGCCTCCCTCCAGCCTCCACTGAGCCTCCCCCAGCCTCCACCGAGCCTTCCCCCTGAGCCTCCCCCAGCCTCCACCGAGCCTCCCCCTGAGCCTCCCCCAGCCTCCACCGAGCCTCCTCCAGCCTCCCCCAGCCTCCACCGAGCCTCCTCCAGCCTCCACCGAGCCTCCCCCTCAGTCTCCCCAGCCTCCACCGAGCCTCCTCCAGCCTCCACCGAGCCTCCCCCTCAGCCTCCCCCAGCCTCCACCGAGCCTCCTCCAGCCTCCACCAAGCCTCCCCCTCAGCCTCCCCCAGCCTCCACCGAGCCTCCCCCTCAGCCTCCCCCAGCCTCCACCGAGCCTCCCCCTCAGCCTCCCCCAGCCTCCACTGAGCCTCCCCCTGAGCCTCTCCAGCCTCCACTGAGCCTCCCCAGCCTTCACCGAGCCTTCCCCCTCAGCCTCCCCCAGCCTCCACCGAGCCTCCTCCAGCCTCCACCGAGCCTCCCCCTCAGCCTCCCCCAGCCTCCACCGAGCCTCCCCCTCAGCCTCCCCCAGCCTCCACCGAGCCTCCCCCTCAGCCTCCCCCAGCCTCCACCGAGCCTCCCCCTCAGCCTCCCCCAGCCTCCACTGAGCCTCCCCCTCAGCCTCCCCCAGCCTCCACTGAGCCTCCCCCTGAGCCTCTCCAGCCTCCACTGAGCCTCCCCAGCCTTCACCGAGCCTTCCCCCTCAGCCTTCCCCTGAGCCTCCACCCAAGCCTTCCCCCAGCCTCCCCCAGCAAGGAGGCTGCCTGCGTACTATGGCTACTGGCCAGCCCTGGGCCATCTTCTCCATCCGTACGTCCTCTGTGTCCCGCCCCCAAACTCACTGTCCTCTGGCCTCTGCTGGTTGAGTACTGGATTACAGGCTGAACACCAGGCTCAGCTGGGAGATTCCCCAAACTACCCATGTCTTGGCCCGAGATAGAGCGTCAGGGGGCTGGCACACGGCCAGTGCCTTCCCACAGGACTGCTGGCCGGACAGGCAGGAGGAGAGAGGCGAGCTGTGACAGCGATGCCGAGACTCGGGGCTGTGCTGGGGACGGGAGCTGGCCACAGGCTGGTAAGCGAGGAGACGGCTGGCAGGGCGCTGACTTCACACTGCAGCGTAGCCCGACGCTCAGGACAGGGCCCACCCTCCACCAGGGCCCAGAATTGGCCAGGAGGGACAGGTGATGGGCCCGGGGCCTGGAAGCCTGGCACCTCACCTCTTGGAGTTGCAGCTCAGTCCCTGGGAGAAGTTTTAATGGCCGTGCACATTTTCACTCGAGGAGGAGCTAATTATTTTAAATGCGTCTCACTCCTTAGAGCTCCGTGCACCCTGTGTCAGCTCTGGTTGCTAGCCGCCCAGCGGGGGGCGAGACAGTCACTGTGATCACAAGGCCCTGTGCCTGGGGTCCCACGGGGTGGGGTCCCCGGAGCTGGCGGAGGAGGCCCCGGGACAACCGCTGCCACCAGAGCCCAGCCCAGGAGCCAGGGCAGCCAGGCTGCTCGCGCCAGTATCACAGACTCCAACCGTGCGTCCCGAGTGGGCCCCGGGGGCTGTGCTGGGGGCCGGCCACGGCCGCCCCGGGAAGCAGAACGGCCGTGCGGACCCCAGTCCAGCGGGGAAGGGCCGTGCAGACCCGAGTCCAGCAGGGAACGGCCGTGCGGACCCGAGTCCAGCGGGGACATGGAACGGCCATGCAGACCCCAGTCCAGCGGGGAACAGCCGTGCAGACCCCAGTCCAGCAGGGAACAGCCGTGCAGACCCCAGTCCAGCGGGGACATGGAACGGCCATGCAGACCCCAGTCCAGCGGGGAACGGCCGTGCAGACCCCAGTCCAGCGGGGAACGGCCGTGCGGACCCCAGTCCAGCGGGGAACGGCCGTGCGGACCCCAGTCCAGCGGGGAACGGCCGTGCGGACCCGAGTCCAGCGGGGAACGGCCGTGCGGACCCGAGTCCAGCGGGGAACGGCCGTGCGGACCCCAGTCCAGCGGGGAACGGCCGTGCGGACCTGAGTCCAGCAGGGAACGGCCGTGCGGACCCCAGTCCAGCGGGGACACGGAACGGCCGTGCGGACCCCAGTCCAGCGGGGAACGGCCATGCAGACCCCAGTCCAGCAGGGAACGGCCGTGCGGACCCCAGTCCAGCGGGGAACGGCCGTGCGGACCCCAGTCCAGCGGGGAACGGCCGTGCGGACCCCAGTCCAGCGGGGAACGGCCGTGCGGACCCCAGTCCAGCGGGGAACGGCCGTGCGGACCCCAGTCCAGCGGGGAACGGCCGTGCGGACCCCAGTCCAGCGGGGACACGGAACGGCTGTGCAGACCCCAGTCCAGCGGGGAACGGCCATGCAGACCCCAGTCCAGCGGGGAACGGCTGTGGGGACCCCAGTCCAGCGGGGAATGGCCGTGCGGACCTGAGTCCAGCAGGGAACGGCCGTGCGGACCCGAGTCCAGCGGGGAACGGCCGTGCGGACCCGAGTCCAGCGGGGACAGGCCCAAGGGAGCGAGGGACAGAGCGAGGGGGCGGGCAGGCACGGGGCGGGATGGGGGCGTGGCGGGGCCACCCTGGAGGGGTGACCAGGAGGAGCTGGGGGTCCGGATGTCTGATCCTCCGCCTGGTGTAGGAAGGTAGAGCCACTAACTCAGGTGGGCTGTGGGGCCCCGGCTCCCGTGGTGAAAGCCTCCGGGAAGTGAATGTAAGGAGGGAAGGTCCAAGCAAGACCCTAGGCCACCGTGGTCTGAGGTACTAGCAAAGCACGAGGAGAGGAGGAGGAAGAGGCACCCGACAGGACAGGAGACAGGAGGTCAGGCGCAGGGGGACAGGCAGGATGCGGGGGACAGGCCGCTGGTGCAGCCAGGCCAGGGCTCAGGCCTGACCAGGCCAGGGGCCATGCCGGTGGGAGCCGCGGAAGCCGAGGCGTCCGGGAGGGTGGCGGAGGGCAGGGCAGGCTGAGGACCTGGGCCACGGGGCGGGGGACACCGCAGCTTGGAACAGCAATTTTCTAGACGAAGCAAGAAGCCAAGCGAGGGATCATCTAAACCAGTCTGTGGGTTGGGATTCTCAAATGAAACTTCCTAAAAAGACAGATGCCAGGCCTTGCCCGGGCCCCAGAGGCATGCTCTGGGAGCTGTTGTTTAAACAACAGGTCAGGGCCTGGGGCCTTACAGCGGCTTTGAGTTTGATTCCCAGCATCAAAAACCAACATAGAAACCAGTAATCCACGTCCTCCGGCCAAGAGGAATGGAGAGACAGCTCTTGGGAACCTTTGCTCTGAGGAGTGGAGAATTGACCCTGAACCTTCAGTCAGCAAACCACACCTGTAACTACTACAGGAGGAACATTAGAACTTACAGAAACTCTCTGAGTTCCAGATCAACACCCTGGAGAGAGGCTCAACAAATGGAAGTACCCCAAACTAAAAAGTTTCTGCACAGCAAAGAACATAGTAAACTATGTTACCAGAGAGCAGAGAAGATTTTTCCCAGCTCTACATCCAGCCAGGGCCTAAAATCCAGAACATACAAAATGCTCAATAAACTAACTTCCCCGGGCCAGGACTAAATAGAGACTTTTCAGAAAAAGTACGAATGGCCAGTCCACACACAGGACATGCTCAGCACCCCGGGCCTGCGTGGATGAGGACCAGGCAAAAATGAAACATATCTCTGCCACACTCATCTGCGGAAGCAATTTCTTGGCTCAGAAACAAATGTTCTTTTCTTTTTCCCCCTAGGTCTGACACTGGGACTGCGGGCACTTTGATCACTGCCTGGCACTCTACCAACCAAGCCACGCCTCCAGCCCCACAGATATTCTTTTCCATTCAGAAAGCTTTTCAGCCCCCACTGGGATCCAACTCTGCCACAGGGTCCCCAAATAGTACCTTGACGTCTGCAGACCAGCCGTGGGGCATCCAGACACACAGGCCGCAGACAGACACCTGGCAAGGGGACACTGCGGTCCTGGTTACTAGCAAAGTGCCAGGGCGGCCAGGGCAGGTGATGGGGGTCTGAGCTCAGCCTGCCCTGCTGTGAGATTTGTCCTCAAACAAACAAAGGTGAGGGAGGGAAGAAGGGGAAAAGGGAGGGGGAGGGGAGGGGAGGAAAAGGGAAGAGAAAGGGAAGGGGAAAGGGAAGGGGAGCCGTCCAGCAGAGTATCTCCTGTGGTTTTCTGTTGCCCTGGCAGGAATCTGTCTCCCGTCCTGGGGCGGGAGGCAGCTGGCTGGAGGCCCACCTCAGGAAGGCCCGTGTGAACGCAGGTCCAGCCCTCGGGGTACTCTTCGGCTCAGGACAGGTCCTCACTTGGCCAGGCGGCAGCTCTGTGGGCCAGAGCTCCACACCCAGCCGGCCGCTCAGGGACAGCATGCCCTGTCCTTCCTGCCAGGGGCCAGGGAAGA